GAAGAAAATAATAAGATTTAAAGCATTTATTTCTACAAATATTCAGAAATATTTTTTTTAATAAATAATTAAATTTAATAATGTTTTAGGAATAAGATAACTGATACTATAGGTTTAAATCTTTGCCTTATTTGCATCTTATACGGCTGTTTAAACTGCCACACTTTTAGTGCAATTGCAGTGGTTAAAATTATCATAATGTGTTCAAATTCTTAAGTGATTGACACTGTTTATGCAGTTAATAAGGTGCTAGGGACCAACCATTTTGCAAATATTTCCTTCAATTTGACGCCAACAACATCTTTCCATCATTGACAATCATTGTAGACTAATTAAACATAGTTTCATCATTTTGATTGTATGAAAGTGTTCAAAGCTCAAAATTAAACGTAAAAATTGATTGACCAACATACTATTTATAAACTGAGTAACTAAAATAAATTTATTGACTAATAGAAAGAACAAACTCTTATCTATAGCCTGATCAAATCCAATCCAAATTAATCCAAATACAACGCCTCCTTGTTCAATGTAAAACTAGCGAGTTTTGAATGAAGTTTGGACACACACAAGCTCATTTAAGTGTTGATCAGTCCCCTTTGACCAACAGACCCATTGAAGATCATTTGAGCGAAATCGTAAATTCTCTTTATGAAGTTAGTTCTAATTGGTCCCTAATTTTTTTAGGAATAAATTGAACTTTCCCTGACTAAAATTAAATCAAACCTGAATTCAATTGAGCTAATTTAGGTCCTTAATTCAAAATGAATCATTTAGGTTGCTTTGGCTCTAACCATTTAAAAATTAATCCAAACCTATTCAAATTAAGAAAAAAACATTTTCTTAGGTTACTCCAAGCTCAATTGAATAAACTTGATTCCCAATTACACTGAATTGGACTGGACGGGCCACAAGCCCATTATGGATCCGATTTGGTTAATTGGACTAAGTTTAATCAAATCCAATTAAAATCTATATAAAGTTAGCTCAACGCATCTTTAGGCCCATTTATAACAAATTAAATCTACTTGACCACTTATGGACCCCCAATTAAGGCAATTAGATCATTGAACCAATTTGACTTTATTGGGTCCAAATGAACCAAAATTCAAATTCAACCCAAATTATTCCAAGCTAATCCAATCTAATTTGGTGGAATTTTTTTCCAATGGGACCAAATGAGGTTCGGACCAAATTAAGCCTAAATAGATCCAATGAGCCACTTTGGCTCCAATTCTTGGGAACATAGGTTGTGTGCTCAGGTCCTCCGCTTTTCATTGAACCCTTTGTTTAGGATTAATTTTGTTTAGATCTAGTTGAAATTAAGGAAACCTCCATGTTCCATCTTGACATAAGAAGTGTCCAAAGCCAATCCAACTAAATCAAAACTCAACTGAGGACATTAGCACATACTTTGTACCGATCCCAATCTTTTGGATCCACTCAAGCGAACCCAAGCCATCACAAATAAGTAACACAAGCCCTTTTCCCTTTCAATTGGTCAAAACCTTGTACCACTTAACAAAGTGGTAGCACTTGGGTTCTACTTTAGTACTTTAGGCCTTGCTCTAAGAGACTTGCCAACCCCTCATGTTGCTTCTAGCTATGACATGCTATCAACGGTAGCTAGACTCTATCACATCCATCCATTCAAGCTTTTGATGGTCATTGGAGACCTCTGTCACGACTGCCATGGTTAAAAAATCATCATCTTTTTCCTAAGCCAAAATGAACTAAATTTCTTCCATTTGTTACATTTGAATCCCTTGCTACGCTCACACAAACCCTCCTAAAACCTCTTCCCCACTTCCAGGGCCTTCTAGCCACCTCCTAGATTAGCCTTGACATGTTTTTTGTAGGACAATAGCTCTCCTAAAGGCCGTAATGGAAAGCAAAGTTGGTTGAGAGGTCAAGGCTAAGATCCAAGTGCATTATTTCAACTATTTTGGCTCACATGAAGTACTCTTCCTTCCTTTCTCTTTGACACTTTTGTTATTCAAACATAGAGAAGTAAAATAGCTTAAGTACCACATAGCCATAAGGCAAAACCCTTAAGAGCATCCCCTTAATGCTCCTAGTTGATGAAACCATAATTCATCATATGCAATTGTACTTCTATATCTAAAACAAAAATTGAAGGGGCAGTTACATAGATACCCTCCAATTCTTATGTATTTGCATATCCAACACCTAAACTTTCAAAGTAGTGTTTAGACACAAAATAAATTCACATACATACGACCCCGCGAAATTACATATCTAACACATAAACTTTCATATTAAATCTAAACTAAACATTTACATGCAGATCAACGAAGTTCTTTGTATTTATATAACTACTACTAAAACTAGCATAAAAGTGTAAAAACCAGAAGTATAAATGACATTTACATACATATCACCCAATCCCTATGTATTCACACATCTAACACCTAAACTTGCATATTTATATCAAAACCCAATTCTTACATATTTACATATCTAGTACCTAAACTTACATATTTTATTTCGAGGAATTTACATATATACCTACCATTCACTTGTTATCTATTTACATATCCAACGCCTAAAATTTAGTTTTTACTTTTATACCACACATAAAAAATATTAACATTTTAACTCTTAAAGAGTGAAATACACTTTTTTCATACATATAATGTTGGATATGTAAAGACAGAGAATTGAGTGGCATGTACGTAAATCTTCCTGACATTTATAGCTCCTAAACCTTTCATATTACATCATAAATGCCACAAGTGCAGTATTCCCCAACTCTTTGGTTGACATCTGCAAAGTCAGTTTTAAGTCTTCTGGGGTCGGGGTTCGAATCCGCCTACGTGCAGTAAAATCTAGTGGCTAGACACATAAGATTGGTTGGGCGTTCGTATCATAGCCTCTGACTAATCTTCTAAAAAATTCTAAAAACCTAAATCCAAGACACAACAATGATGCAGATTTAGGGGTGTAAACGAGCCGAACACGAGCGAGCCCAGGTATAGCTTGTGTTTGGCTCGTTTATATTTCGAGCTCAAAAAGTGTTTTCGTGTTCGACACATTTTCTTAGCCAGGCGAAAAACTAGCCGTTCACGAACAAAGAGTTGTTTTAACAACCTTAATCACTTAGCCATCAGATATTAAAGATTGTGGTAAGATTTAAAACATCATTTGAATCTAATTTAATAATTTTTATTCTATTTTCTTTATTAATACTTTTAATTGATTATAAATATTTGTATCATTGTAGTCAATTAGATTTTTGAAAAGACTACTCATCAAATGTATGATATATATATATATATATAATTGATTGGTAGTATTTCGAGCCAAAACGAGCTGAACACGAACAAACAAATATTGGTTTATGTTGTTCGTGCTCAGCTCGTTAACTTAACAAACGAGTAGAACACGAGCTTCTTAACAAGCCGAACACGAGTTATTCGTGAACGACAAGCCATTTTGACAGCCCTATGCAGATTAACAAAATACAATCAAGGATTTAAAAAAAATTAAAATACAATTAGACGTAATTAACTCGTTAATTAGGATCCGTGGAAAACATAAAGTCTAATTGATAGATATAAAAATTTCAGCAAAAGAAAAATCAATTTAAAAATTCTATTTCCAACTTCTAATTCTCATCCTTGTTAGAGAGCGCCTAAATTTTATTTTTTTTACATTTATATCATTCAAATCTCTCATATCACATCAAATATATTCATGCAATAAGTAAAATTAAAGTTTAGGTGTTGGATATATAAATACATATGAATTGCTTGGCATGCATGTAAGTTTTCCTAAATAAATTTTCAAACATTTGAAGTCATATTTGTCTTGTAGATAAAATTTTTTTTCCATATAGAGTGCAGACGCATCTCTATTTGTGGACTCCAGTAATATGCCGTCACATGTGCTGCACAGGGCCAACCTCATAAACACCACACGATGAACTACTCCAATAACTGTCACAGAGCAGCTCCAATAAGTCTTCAATAATGACGCAACAACCGTTCAATAACGCCTCACGAAGCAACGATCCCATCAATCTCGGTCCCGCTTCAATAACCCAAACATGATAATTCCAATAACTGCTTCAATAATGCCGCAACGACCCCCCCAATAAAACCGTGCGGTGAACAGCTCCAAGAACCTCTGTCATTCCACTTCAATAACCACTGCAAAACAACTCTAATAAGTCCTCAATAACGCTGCGATAACCCTTCGAAGTATAATGTCTCTTGTTGAAGGGTTATTGTGGCGTTATTGGGGACTTGTTAGAGTTTTTCTGAGGGGGTTATTGAAGTGGAGCCACTGAGGATATTGAAGCGGTTCACCACGTTGTGTTATTGGATGATTATTGCGACATTATTGAAACAATTATTGGAATTGTTCTGACTCAAAATAATCATATAAAAATTTATACCTTTCCAACAAATGGTCAAAATAATCTAACATTTCTAGAGAAAATCTATTACTTAAGATTTTCAAAAACATCAACGCCTAAAATATATCTTAGGAGACAAAAAAGTAAAATTAAACATCAAACTATTATAAAGAATTAAACTTTGGTCATTTAACTTAGTTTGATGCTAAAATTTTTATTTATAAACAGAATCTTAAACACAATAAACACAAATTATATATATATTAAAGAATGACGGGAGACTATTAGACGAGCCCCGATTATCTCTAGGTGTGCTAAATAATAGAGTACCACACCTTACACACTGGGGGTTCAGACCCATGACCCGAGGGGACTTACGACCTTCAGAGAGGTTGCTCTACCAACAAATCATGATATACACACAAATTAAATAGATAGATAGATATATAGATACATATGTATATTTATACTTGTTCGCCGCATATGTGCTAATTTGACTCATATATATTTGAACCCGGGACAGAGAGGGCTTGCGCCGAAGCTGTAAGTGCTCAAACACAATTCATCAGGCACCTAATATTTTCTCATGACAACACACTTCATCATGCACCTAATATTGTCAAGATGAGGAGGGATTGATGACACCCTTGGCCTTCATCACCATCTTACTCTCCTCCTCCTCCATCGTGTCGCTGATCCCACGACCCCTTATTTCCGGCAAGAAGGCAAAAAAAAGCGCACAAAAAATGATAACTATTCCAAAGACGTCAAACGAAAGAAACCTTCTCCTCCTCCCCACTGCCACTATCGCTGGCGCCGCAACCCCGCCGAGCACCACCGCCTGCCTCACCACAGCAAGCGCAGAGGTTCGCACGCATGTTGGAAACAATTCCACCGTATAAATCATCAAAATCATAAATGACGTGAAAACCCCAAAGAATGCGAACAACTCCAGCACCACCGCTAACCAACCTCCCATGGCTGTGCACGCAAGGCTGCACCCGCCACTCACAACCATTAATCCCACCATAAATCTCCGTCTGCTCATCACATCAACGAAAAAAAAGATAACTAATGCCGACAGAAGCTCAATCGCTGCATTTAACGCCACGGTTATATGAAGGTTAGCGTTGAGATTCTCGAGATTTAGCGGCATTCCGTAGTACATCATCCCGATGCCGAAACTAGCCATCATGATAGCCAAGAGGCGGCGCAGAGCCCACCGCTTCTCCCACAACATCTGCACAGCTGAGTACAAATTTCATGACTCTGTTTTCACAGAGCACATCACTGCCGAGTTCGAGAAGCTTTCTGATTTTTTTGAAGAGGATAACTTTTTCAGTGTTTCAATGGCTTCTTCTCTCTTGCCTTTGACAAGAAGCCAACGAGGGGACTCTTTCACGAAGAAAAAGAGGAAAATGCAGTATAAGAGGGAAGGGATTGAGGTGTAGAGATTGAAAATGGTTTGTACATATAATAACAGACCCAGAATATATCATTTCAATTGAGCTAAGTCATGTGGTCTTTTTTTCCTTTCCAATTTTTTCACATAAAATTTTTAAGGGCTCTTCCTACCACTTTTAATTATCTGTGTGTATTGTATTCTCGTGCAATGATAATAAGATAATTCATTACCCTGTAGTCATTAATTATCCCACGTCCATGGAAGATGAACTTTTTTTCATCCAAAAATAAGATACTATGATAATTCAAAAATAAATAAGTACAAAAAAGATAAAAATATCTATTGATGTAAAACATAAAATTCAGAGCATTTCTTTTTCAATCTGAAAGTATCGACTTTGTTAAATTCATCAAAATATCATTTTTATCTCTCTCACGTCATTTACAATGTTTCCCTCTAAGGGTCTGTTTGCGACAACTTATTAGTGCGGGCGACATTTTGAAAACGCCGCCGTACCGTTTATTTTGCGCGTTCGTATAACTTATTCTAAAACCACAATTTGAAATCCTTAATAAACGAGGACGCAGGATCGACCCCACGTCCGGCGTTTTCATTTCACGTTTGGGTGAAATTTCCTCTCATACCCTCTACTCTCCGCCTCTCGTTCGCTCCGACTGTGGAGGTCGCTGTCGTGCTCCAAATGCGGAGGTCGCATTCATTTATGTTATGAGTGTATTGTATTCATTCTCCTTGTATTTTATTTTTTTGTATCAAGTTCCAAGCAAATGGCATGTATACTAAACTTATGCTATATTGCTATGGCTGGCCCGTTTGTATTTTATTAATACATGCATTTCTGTTGCTCTACACTTCTAAAATACCTGCATCTTAAAAGAATCCAACCAAACAAACCTTACATGAAATGAAAGATTTGTGCTAGCCGAAGAAGAGAGAAGATATGAGAATGAATCAAAGTAGTGAAATTTGGCTTATATTAATTCGCTCAAAGTGGTTCAAGTTGCAAGATGACAGTCCAAAGTTATTACTGAAGTTTTTAGTTTGCTCTAAATGCTTTTGCTCGTGAAGTTAAGGCAGTAAAAATATTCACTGTTCAAGTTTTGAGTGTTTAATGGCATGCCTAATTATTTCGTTAAAATGTGGCTCATTATTTATTCAATATGTTTAAATCCTGCTAATGCCTCTATTGAGTTGATTATTTGATTTGGCGCTATGCAACGGCAAGGATTATATGTTTTTTATTTTGATTAAAATGTGCAAATCAGCTGTTTTCTGAACGCACAAACCAAATAATCAGTTAGCTTATCCAGATCAGTGGCAGACTGGTCATTTTCTAGAAACAGCTGCAAATCAGCTGTTTTCCAAACGCACAAACCAAACAACTAACCAGCTTATCCGGATCAGCTGTAGATCCTCAGCTTATTGAGATAAACAACTTATCAACATAAGCTGGATAAGCTGCAGCTGTCCCAAACAAACCCTAAATCTTCGTACTCTTGTATTATAATAAAATCATTGCATTATTATCACTATTAAAAATATATTTTTGAATATATATAACTAGAAAATCATTAAACTAAAAACCCTCATATGATTACGCAAATATTTCTTGTAATTTTGATAAAAGTGAAGGTTTGTTCAATCGTTATTATACTATATATCCAAAATATGTTGGCACTAATTTTGACAAGATCTGACAATCCATGGGAGAATAATACAATGAATAAGGGCACACAAACATAAGAAGATGAGACTTAGTTATCTGATTGAGTAAGGTCACTGAGTTAAAGCTGATCTAGTCACGAAAGATGACTGAATATTCAAATTTGAGTCGTTCAGGTAGAAACAAAATAAAGCGACATACAAGCCGACCGACTTGAGAGAAGACCTAGCTCCTCAACATTTTAAATCTTACCATGGATGTCCAAAAGCTCCCCCATACGTTATCATGGACCGACATTCAGACTAGCTAAGCTGACTCAAACAGTCCTTCCGACCCTAGGCCAATCAAGCTCAATCAACCTACAATGCTGACCGATAGTGCCAACAAAGCCTAGCTGAACAAACCGATCTTAGCGAGCTGAAGCCAAACAAGCTCAATCGACATAGCCAAGGAGCAACCTAACTCACACCTGTAAAATAGTAAAAATATCAATGTCTAAACCCTAATAAAGTAGGAGAAAAAGTTTAACATCAACATATAAAATTCTCTCCCTTATAATATGGAGATCATTTTATAAATAAGGGGTTGTCAAATTAGCCAAAAAAGAATGAAAATGTTAGATAAGATTAATGTTCACTCTTCTCTCTCTCTCTCTCTCTCTCTCTCTCTCTCTTATACACTCTCTTTCTTAGAGGTAAGATTCACAAACAAATCAAAATTCAACATATAAGAACTGTTAATATCAAAGCAAGCTTTACAAGTATTATTCTAATGATAATGCTTCATGTATGGAGTTCGTCTGTTCAAAGTTTTATTCAAATATATCTTCGCATATATAATCAATATAAGGGAGATTAACATGTGAATAATTTGGAAATTACATATTATATTTCAGGATTTACTCTAGGGTTATATATATATATATATGCTTATTTGTAACTCTATATATTGTATTCCATACTCTTTTTCAGAATTAAAGGAAAACCATCACTCTGCTCCAAAAGACATAGGCATCTTTGCCGAACCTCGTTAAATCTATGTATGTTCTTCTGGATTTTTGTTGATTTGTGTTTCTTTGCCCTAAGTGTTTCAACAGAAATGATGTATTTCAATTTTTAAAAATTAAAATAGTGACATTTTTTATGGGAAAAAAACATTAAACTTAATTTGAGGTTGAAATTTTTATTTATAATCAGAAAATTTTGAACACAATATTTCAAATTATATAAATATGTAATTTGTGAATGGTGATATTTTTTAAGGGACAAAGCATTAAACGTAATTTGATGTTGAAATTTTTATTTATAAAGAAAAAATTTTAGACACAATAGTCCAAATTATATGAATATGTAATTTGTGTGCATGTTTTTATTCTTTTTTTTTTTGTTTTGAAAAAATTGAGTCATGATGTGTGCTAGAAAATTCGTGGTCGTAAAGTAGCAAATTAACCTCTTAGTTTGGTACGAAGATTCATCACACACTCAGATAAAAGAAAATAACTAGTAGTGTTACAAAAAAAATTGTATGGAAAACCCGTAAAGGGAAAAAACCACAGGGCCAACCCCGCTGACGAAATCCGATATAAACTGGATATCACAATTACAATCACTTGTCCCACAGGAGGGAAATGATTGAACACTTTTTGGAGTTACAATGTCGGTGCACGAGTAAACTTTTTGTACGAAGTGGGCGGTGACCGAATGCGATTGGTGGAGGCCGACAGGTGGTGGACGATGGCGGTCAATGGTGATCAACGACAGTCGGCGGTGATTGATGACGGTTGACAGTGATCGATGGTGGCTGAAGTAATGTTGGACTTCAGGCTCCTCGAAACTTCAATCACTTCTTCAGGTTCCAAGCTCTCCACACCCTAATGAGAGGGGTGGGGCAATTAATACAGGGATATAAAACACTTTGGCTGGATAATCCAGAGAGGTTCCTTGAGTGTCTTAACGATGTCAGAATTAAGTAATTTTGGGCTCGTTAGATTCATTTTGTTGAGACGCTCAATTTGAATATAGACTTGCTAGATTTGACACTGAAAATGTCCATAAAACTTCCAAGGGTGGTTTAATGACTGAATTGAGCTTGATTTGACTTAGGTTAGACTGATTTTGGTGACATTGAGTTCTTCTTATTGAGTAGGTCAGTTTGACGTTAAATTTGTTGAAATTGGAGTTTTGGATGAGTTTTAATCGATGTTTGAATATTTATTGCTCAAAAGATGTATCTAGATCTATGACATGGCTCAAGATTCGTGCAAGAAGATGAAGATTTGCTAAAGATATATCAGTTGTCTCTATATTTTCGGGTGTGATTACTTTGTCGCCCAAAAATATGAAAATCTAAAGCATTTTCCTTTTTGTCATGTATATATATATAGAATTATATATTCTGTTACTGTGAGAATTTATATAACGATAATATAAACCCCTATAGTTGAAACAAATGAGCTCAACTCAAATGGCAGTGGCTTTTCTCTTCACTCAATGAGTGGCGGGTTTGATCAGCTCAAAAAATTAAGATTTTTTATCGCGGGGCCAAAGCTGAAGAGACGGGTCGTCCCGAAGCTGAAGAGACGGGCGCGAGAGCATTTGAAACGGGTTTTAGGAATCTGAACCGTAGAATTTGGATTAGTTTTAGCCGAAAAAGAGAAATTTGAGCTGATTTTGGGGGAAAATATTTGCGGACATAAGATGTACGCAGCTCTGCGTACATTAGGGGTTATTCAGGGGTACAATGGGGTTATATCTGGGTTATACCCCCTTGTAACCTCCGGTATAACCCGGATATAACTCCCCTGTACCCCCAGAATAACCTCTGTTATACGCAGCGCTGCGTATATCTTATGTACGCAAATATTTTCCGATTTTGGGAGCTTAATATCGATTTTTCCGTTTTTGGGAGCCTAAGGGATGAAATTTGAGCTGTTTTTTTTTTTTTCTAATGAGCTGCTCTTTTTCTTTTATTTATTTTTTATAGTTGTAGTTATTTTTTTAATAAATTGTTGTTTATACATATACATATACATATACATAAATATAAAGTTGGTTTGATAACTAATTTAAATGCATTTAATTTGTGATAATTGAACAAAAGAATACGAAGAATTTTATCTCTTTGAATACTTGAAACAATTTTTATTTCTTATTTTTAATTTGAAATGAGGAAGGTAGAAGACCATGAGATGAAATGCCAAAAGTCGAAATGTAGAAGGACGAGAATTAATGTAAATTTTAGGATTTTTTTACTATTTTAATGAATTGCATTATTTTTTAGTCATAATTATTGGTATTTTTTTAGCGGCAAAGAAGATAATGATGTGGTTGGAGCCCTCGACTATACCTAGTAGGTGATTCGAGATTTCCTAAAAGAAGAAATTCGTTCACGTCCTGCGTAACAGACGAGCAACAAGATCTTCTTTTACATCACGGTGAAGAGAAAATTCATCCCCGTTCTGCGAGCAGATGGGCAATTGGATTTTTTTACGCGTTGAGGTGAAGAGGAAAGCCGTCACCGTCCTGCGAAGTAGACGAGCAACGACATCTTCTTTCACATTGCGGTGAAGAGAAAGTTTGTCTCTATCTCGCGTAATAGGCGAGCAACGAGATCTTCTTTCACGTAATGGTGAAGAGGAAAGTCATCCCCGTCCTGCACAGCAAGCGAACAACGAGATCTTCTTCTACGTCAGGGTGATGCAGAAAGTTATCCCTGTCCCTATCCAGCAGGAGACTCGAGATCTTATTACTTGTTATTGCTGCGCATTTCGGTGGAGATGAAAAAATGCTAGAGTTTTCCCGCCCCACTTTGAGGGGGAGAATTTCATGTTTCTGTAGTGGCGATATTTCTTGTAGGCTTTGTACCAGTTCTTGTTGGTCTTCACACCTTTTTTAATCATCTGATGTGACATTTATAGATGATAATGCATTTCTTTGTAAGTCTTTAACTTGCCTTCTCATGTAGCTGTGGCTTCTTAATCGTACGAAATTATGCAATTAAAGTTAGCACGCAAAGTTTATAAAATAAAGAATCACATACCTTTTAAGGCATGCGCCTTTCGAAGTTGTGCCCTATCGGGCTTATGCATTGTAGAAGCTTGAAAAGAATTGATAGCTTTTAAGGCTCATAGCCTTCTGAGGTCTTTTATGTATATGTATCTTATGAGGCTTATAACTTTCTGAGCTCTTTAATGCACATATGCATTCTAAGACTTGTAGCATTCTGAGGTCTTTGCTGTTTTTGTGCCTTCTGAGGCTTGTACCCTTCTGAGCTTTGATGCATCTGTGCCTTCTGAAGCTTGTAGCTTTCTGAGGTCTTTGATGTACATGTGTCTTATGAGGCCAGTAGACTTCGGAGGTCTTTGAGAGGAAACACTTTCATCCACTTGCTCGCGTGCAATCTTTTTAGTGAGGTTTTTGTCCACTATTAGCTTCACATCAAGACTTATGTTTTAGGCTCGTCTTCCAGGGGCGCCATATCTTCTAATTGAGCCTTGCCTCTTTGGCTCAACTTTCAGGGGCTTACTAGCTTCTCATCGAGTCTTGTCTCTTATGCTTGACTTCCAGGAGCACCATATTCTCCCATCGAGTCTTGCCCCTTGGGGCTTGACATCTAGGGGCACAGTAGCTTCTCACCTAGTCTTGCCTCTTGGACTTGACTTTCAGGAGTGTCGTCTTCTCATCGAGTCTTGTCTTTTGAGTTCGACTTCTAAAGGCATGATAACTTCTCATGCAGGTATTGCCTCTTAGGCTTGACTTTCAGGTGTGTCGTATCTTCTTCTCGAGTCTTGCCTCTTGGGCTCGACATTCAAGAGTACCATATCTTCATATTTAGTCTTGTCTCTTAAGCTTGACTTCAAAGGGCATGGTAGCTTCTCATTGATTCGTGCCTCTTGGGCTTGACATTCAGGAATATTGTATCTTTCCGTCGAGTCTCGCCTCTTGGGCTCGACTTCCAGGGGCATGGATGAGGACCTTGTCTATCGCTTGCCCTCATGGACATTCTACACAAAAAATCCTTTATGAGAGAAAAAAAGAAAGTTTAATTGAAATGATAGTTAAAGCAACATGAAAATAAAATTAGGAATTTATAAGCAAGAATTTTATACAAATAAGATCATTTGGAGTTGTACTTCTCATTCATCAACTTCAACAATTCTCTTCTAGTTCCCCTCACCTTGTTCATGTAAGTAACAACCCATGTGACATTGGCATATCAGACGTTCAATTTTTTCTTTAATTGAAAAAATCTTTCTGCGATTGTTCTTTTGCACGGTGAAAATGAAAATATTGAGACCAGTCTCCACCATCTAGATTTCTCAATTGCCTTGGCCACTTGACCGTCTCTTTATACTTGATGGTCATTAGGATGTTGACACGTGACATGTATTCTTTTTCTGGTCGTGGCTCACGATTCCCCCACGGTCCAAACTTTTTTACTATGAGAATTGATTGGTATCCAAGGTGTTATTCTTGCGCTTGCTCCTCAATCACTTAAATTATCCCTTGTGTGTAATGATGGAATTGCCCGTAAAGATTTGTGGTTCGACGTGATAGATGAGATCAACATAAGAGCACATTGTCTCCCACATGAGTGATGAATAGAAAGGTCCTAGGTAGAGCCCTCCAAAAAAGAATCCTCTAAGATGATATTTCTTTGATCAACATAAGAGCACACTCTGGATCCGCCCTAAGAGTCGGGCGGGCTTCAATGGAGAACCTGTAGAAGTATTCTTTGAGGGGTTCCCCCTCATTCTGGCGAAATCCTGATAAGTGAGATGAATCTTTGAAGATATTTTTATTTGCTATGAACTGCTCTACGAATAATTAGAAAAGTTTGTTGAAGGTGTTGATGGTGCCCCCCCGGTGGAGAGTAGAACATTATGCGAGCTTGACTCTTGAGAGTCGTTGGGAACAATTGATAGAGAAACACAACATAAGCATGGTGAATATGCATGATGTTTTGATAACAATCGACGTGCTCATATAGATTAGTTACCCCTTCATTGGCATCAACGTTTGAGAGTTTGAAACTTGCTGAGATAGGGTGTCTGAGAACTACATCAGCCAAAAGAGAGGATTCTTGGAAGTAATGGTGAGCAGGGAAGCGATCCTTTTTATCCAGAGGGAACCCTTCCCAAAACAGATGTCGTAGCTCATCTAGGATGATATCAGCAGAAACGACAGCAAGGTGGATGGGTGCCAAGTGAACTGCATGAGATGGATGAGTGGAACCTGTAATGTCAAGAAGATTGGCGTCTCGTCTTAGCAGGGCGATGGTTTCATCATTGAGAGAGAAACCAGTGACTGGGGTATTTTTTATTGAATGCTGAACTGGTGGTAAGTAAGTTCCATTGGGTTGTCGTTGTTGCTTCCCGCATAGGAGATGAGGAGCCTCATTTGAACTCCTTCATTCTACGTACTTGATCTTCCAGAGAATGATCTAAGACACCATCGTCAGCGGGGTAATGCCTTATGAAGTAGGAGGATGCGAATGCTTGATGACCTTGTCTTCGTGACTATCTTCTGAAATGATGGGTGTTGGAGTCAGATGCTCTGATGTTGCAACTGTAGCGCCTGGTGGCCATACAACAATTCTTACAAGTATTTAGTGATGGGAATGCTCTATTTCCCATATATAGTCTCAAACTAAAGTGTGCTAGAAAATTCACTACAGTAGGGTAGCAGAATATTGTCTTAGCGTGGTACGAAGATTCAAAACATACTCAGAAGAGAGAAAACAACCAGTAGTGACACAAGAATTTTTACATGGAAACCCCACAAAAAGGAAAAAACCACGGGGCCTAGCCCAACAGAAGAAATCCTATATAAACTAGATATTACAAGTACAGTCCATCGTCGCACAAGCATGAAAGGATTGAAAACCCTTCGGAGTCACAACATCAGTGCACGAGTAAACTTGTTGTAAGAAGTGAGTGGCTGCTAAAGACGATCGGTGGAGGCCAACAGGTAGTGGTCAATGACAGTTGGTTATGATCGACAACATTCGAAGGTGGTCGACATTGGTTGAGGGCAGTCAGCGAGTCGGCAGTGATCGATGGTGGCTGTAGTGATGCTAGACTTCAGCTCCTCAAAACTTCATGCTCTTTTTCAGACTTCATGCTCTCATCCCCCTCATGAGAGGGATAAGGCTCTACTTATAGTGTTCTCAGTGCAATTAATGCATAAAATATGAACCAATTTGATCGGATGCTCAGGAGAGCTTTCTTCAATCAAGAGGCATTTCATGGATATTTTAGTGGCTTAACGATGTTGGAATTGATCAATTTTGGGAACTCTTCCCAAAACAAATGTTGTAGCTCATCTAGGATGATATCGACAGAAGCAACAGTAAGGCGGATTGGTGTCAAGTGAGCTGCATGAGATGGATGAGTGGAACCTGTAATGCCAAGAAGATTGGCGTCTCATCTTAGTAGGGGAATGGTCTCATCATTGGGAGAGAAACCAGTGACTGGGGTATTTTTTATTGAATGTTGAACTGGTGGTAAGTAAGTTCCATTGGGTTGCGGTTGTTGCTTCCCGCATAGGAGATGAGGAACCTCATTTTGAACTTCTTCATTCTATGTACTCGATCTTCCAGACAATGATCTAAGACACCATCGTCAGCGGGGTAATGCCTTATGAAGTAAGAGGATGCGAATGCTTGATGACCTTGGCTTCGTGACTGTCTTCTGAAATAATGGGTGTTGGAGTCAGATGCTCTGATGATGCAACTGTAGCGTCTGGTGGCCATACAATAATTCTTACAAGTATTTAGTCATTGGAATGCTCTATTTCCCATAAACAATGTCAAACTACAGTGTGCTAGAAAATTCACTATAGTAGAGTAGCAGAATATTGTCATAACGTGGTACGAAGATTCAAAACATACTCAGAAGAGAGAAAACAACCAGTAGTGACACAAGAATTTTTACATGGAAAACCCGCAAAAAGGAAAAAATCACGGGGCCTAGACCAACTAAAGAAATTATATATAAACTAAATATTACAAGTACAGTCCATCGTAGTACAAGCATAAAAGGATTGAAAACCCTTCGAAGTTACAACATCAGTGCACGAGTAAACTTATTGTAAGAAGTGAGTGGCTGCTAAAAAAGATCGGTGGAGACCAATAGGTAGTGATCAATGACAATTGGTTATGATCGACAACATTCGGTGGTGGTCGACATTAGTTGAGGGCAGTCGGCAGTGATCGATGGTGGCTGTAGTGATGCTAGACTTCAGCTCCTCAAAACTTCATGCTCTTTTTCAGACTTCAAGCTCTCCTCCTCCTCATGAGAGGGGTGGGGCTCTACTTATAGTGTTCTGAGTGCAAATATTGCATAAAATATGAACCACTTTGATTGGATGCTCAGGAGAGCTTTCTTCAATCAGAAGGCATTTCATGAATATTTTAGTGGCTTAACGATGTTGGAATTGATCAATTTTGGGCTCGTTGGATTCGTCTTGTCAAGATGCTCGATTCGACTATAGGCTTGCTAGATTCAACATTCTTTTAACCATCTAAATATGTCCGAAAAAACTTTCAAGGCTGGTTTAATGACTTAATCTGAGCTTGATTTGACTTGAATTGAACTAATTTTGGTGACATTGGATTCTTCTTATCGAGTAGGTCATTTTGACTCTAAGTTTGTTGAAATTGGAGTTCTGGATGAGTTTTTATCGATGTTTAAATATTTCTTGCTAAAAAAGAAACCTCGAGATCTATGTAATGTCTCGATATTCATGCCGAATGATGGAGATTCGGTAGAGATGTATCAAGTCAAAAAGGCAATATACATGATTCAAATTCACAGTCTTACAAAATTTGTTGCTCGCTTCAACTTTGATCTTTTCTTTTCTTGTTTATATGTTTTTATTGCATTTAATTTAATAACAGATTTTCCTTTTTTTAGGTTGCTCATATTTCTCTGTTTGTGTATTCTGCTCATTTTTATTGAGTAAAAAGTTAGGCACGACTATCATTACTCAGAACAAAAAAAAAAGGGGAGAGAGAAAGTTCACTTTCATGAAGTGGACAACCATGTCATGGCTATATATATATATATATATATATATTGTGTGTATGGAGAAAATATTAGATGTTTATAACTTACCCACGGACGACAAATAATATGATAGAAAATGTAGACAAAAGAGGACTCAAATACACCTAATATTATCACCTGTCGACGGATTGAGGACACCCTTGGCCTCCATCGCCATCTTACTCTCCTCCTCCTCCATCGTGTCGCTGATCCCCCAACTGGTCGCTGATCCCACGCCCCCTCGTTTCCGGCAAGAAGGCAAAAAAAAGCGCACAAAAAATGATAACTATGCCAAACACGTCAAACGAAAGAAACCTTCTCGTCCTCCCCACCGCCACTATTGCCGGTGCCACAACCCCGCCGAGTACCACCGCCTGCCTCTACCACCGCCTGCCTTACCACCGCAAGCGCCGAGGTTCGCACGCACGTTGGAAACAATTCCACCATATAAATCATCAAAACCGCAAATGCCGTGAAAACCCCAAAGAATGCCAACAACTCCACCACCACCGCTAACCAACCTCCCATGGCTGTGCACGCAAGGCTGCACCCGCCACTCACAACCATTAATCCCACCATAAATCTGCGTCTGCTCATCACTTCAGCAAGAAAAAAGACAACTAATGCCGACAGAAGCTCAACCGCTGCATTTAATGCCACGGCTATGTAAAGGCTAGCGTTGAAATTCCCAAGATTTAGCGGCATTCCGTGGTACATTATTCCGATGCCAAAACCAGCCATCACAATCGCTAACAGGCGGCGCAAAGCCCACCGCTTCTCCCGCAACATCCGCATTGCAGAGTATAAATTTCCTGACTCTGTTTTGACGGAGCACATTACTGCCGAGTTTGAGAAGCATTCTATTTTTTTTGAACAAGATAACTTTTTCAGTGTTTCAATGGCTTCTTCTCTTCTGCCTTTGACAAAAAGCCAACGGGGGGACTCTTTCATAAAGAAAAAGAGGAAAATGCTGTATAAGAGGGAGGGGATTGAGGTGTAAAGATAGAGTAGTCTCCAGGAGTTTTCTCTGTTTAAAAAGGAAATGATGGGAAGGGTGAGGAAGCCTGTAGTGCATAGAAGGAATGTGATGATGCTGACGTTGTTACGTTGACGACGAGGGACTTGTTCGGAGGAGAGGACGTACGCAGTGGTTCCGACATTAGCGCGGGCGAAGCCGGAGCAGAATCGGAGGACAGAGTAGACAGCGAGGTTGGGTGACAAGGCTGTTAAGGCGGCAGTGAGAGACATGATTAAGCAGGAGAGGAAAAGGGTGTATTTGCGACCGAGGAAGGAGTCAGCTAAGGTGGCTAAGAGGAGGCCGCCGACGAGACAACCAGCATAGAAGGAAGAGGATGGGAGTGCGAGGAGAACAGGGGAGGAGCATTCGAGAGAGAAGTCGGAGATGGTGGAAATGTGGCGGGGGTGGGAGAAGGACCAGGAGGAGGAGGGGAGATTGCAGGGTGTGGAGAGGGTGGTGGTGACATTGCAAGCGGTGGAGGTGCAGTGCCATGATGGTTGGGAATCCGAGAAGACATTGATGAAGGTTTGTTGGCAGTCGAAGATCCATGCAAGAGAGGCGAAAAAGGGGAACAACAGGCTGGTGGTGGAGGACACCATGTACCTTTCGACGATATCGTCGATGGAGTTATTAATTGTGGCTATTTTATTTGAATTCTGGCTTATTTCGACAGAGTGCTCGTTGATAATTTCGCCGGCAGGAGGTGGTGAAGGGGGAGCGTTAGCCATTTTGCTTCAGGCCAAGATATGTGAAGCAGGGACTCCTATGTATAGGAGAACATGATAAATCATATTTATAAGGGGGAAAAGATTAATATTTTTAATAATTATTTTATCAAAAGAATATATTACATCATTTATTTGATGTCATATGCTATTCCTCAATATAACTAAAATTTTAAAAAGGATTTGCATTTTTATCCTTTACTAATAGAATTTTTGGCAAACTTAAAATCAGCATCAATTTGAGAAATTAAAATTTTCTTCTTTCCAAATGTGGTATCGACGCTGCTTCTCATATACGACATAAACTGACGCTTAAAAAGTATTCGGCCTGCTGACTTATCAATTGCTTGAAAATAATGGGGGCATTTATATACATACCACCCATTTCCTTTGTATTCACATATCAGACACCTAAATTTTTTTTTTTTTACATATATACCACCCAAATCTTTTATATAAAAGTTATTTGCCCCTACACTTAACATTCTGCAGCTATGTGACTAGGGTTGTTAATAGGATTTTTTGTTAGCGAAGAGCTTGTGTTCGACTCGCTAAGCAAATGAGCCGTACAAGAACAAATCTTTTTTGCGCTCGAAATATAAACTAGTCGAATATGAACAGTGATACTTTTTAATGAGCCGAGCCTGGGCTCGCTCGTGCTCGACTCGTTTACACCCCTACTGACAACCACTCCTCCCAATCACAAATGCTTCTGATCGTGGGGCCACGAGCTCTTCTACACATGGTCGTCGTAATTCTAGAAACCATCTAACCCGTATTTCCTTGTGTGACAAGGGTATGTATCTGTAATCACAAACTCTTAATGGGTCATTTTCAATTGAGCTAAGCCCTGTGGTCGTTTTTTTTTCCTTTTCAGGTTTTTCGCAGTCATCGAATCAAAGCCGATCTAGTCACGAAAGACGTCCGAGTGATCTGAATCCGAGCCATTTAGTCAGAAGAAAAAGAAAACAAAGAGACATTCAAGCTAATTGGCATGAAGAAGCCAACTCGAGAGAAGACCTAGCTCCTCAACATCTTCAATCTTGTCATGAATGTCCAAAAGCTCCCTCATATATTATCAAGGGTCAACATCCAAATTAACTAAGACAACTGAAATAGTCCTTCCGAACCTAAGCCCATCATGCTCAGCCGACCGACAATGCCAACAAAGCTTAGCTGACCAAACTGGTCTTGCTGCTGAAGCCAAACAAGCCCGGCCGATAGAGTTAGGGAGCAACCTAGTGATAGACACACACTTATAAAACATCATCTACAAACTCTATTAAAGCAGGATAAAAAATTTAAGTTCAGCATATACTTGTTCATTTAATTATAGCTCATAAAACATCACTTTTATGTATGTATGTATGTATGTTGTCCATCCGTCCGTTCGTCCGGTCTTATACCGTGAATATCAGCCAATAATTATATATATATATATATAGTATATATATATATGCGTGAGTGTATCTGTGTGTGTACTTTTAAGATTGGCCAGAGGCTATTAGACGAGCTTCCGGATCAATCTCATATGGCTCAGAATTACTTTTAGCACATAAGCGGGATCGAACACGTGACCTTAGGGGTTTTACAAACTATGTCAACCAAAGAGTCACGATAGACGATACACACACTCATATTTATGTGTGTGTTGAATCCAATAAAGTCCTTATAGTCCTTGCACAACCAATAGAGCCAGATTCAGGAGGTGGAAAACCACGGGTCTGGCCCAGCTGCGGAAATCCACTATTGATTGATGATTACAAAAATCTCGTCCCACAGACGGGAAATGGTAACTATATTTTTCAAGGTACAACGTCGACTGACGACGTCTAGTTGATGGTGATCGATGACGGTCGGTGGAGGTCGACGACGGTCGGCGGTGATAGACGGCGTTCAGCGGTGATAAACGGCGGTCGGCGGTGATCGAATACGATCGACGATGGTTGTCGGCGATCAGCAGTAGTCGACGATGGTCGATGACGGAGGTCAGCGTTCGATAAAAAAGGTCGGCGGCAGTCGATGACGGAGGTCGGCAATGGTCGACGACTATTGGTGGTGATGCTGAGCTGCAGCTTCTCCTCAAGCCCTCAGGCTCTCTCTAGACATCCTTCCCCTTCATGAGAGGGATGGGGCTTTATTTATAGTGTTCTGGGTGCAATTAATGCAGGAATATGAACCATTTTGATCGGACAGTCAGGAGAGCTTCCCTCGATCATACGGCATTTAATGGACATTTGAGTGCCTTAATGATGTCAGAATTTAGTGATTTTGGGCTTGTTGGATTCGTCTTGTCGAGCCGCTTGATTTGAATATAAACTCGTCATATTTAACAGTCGTTTGAATTTCCAAATGTATTCATAAATCTTCTAACTGTGGTTTAATGATTTGATCTGGGTTTGATTTAATTTGGATTGAGCTAGTTTTCATATCATTAGGTCCGTCTCATCAACTAGTCAGTTTAACTATAGTTTGTTGAAATCAGAGCTCATGATGACTTTTTATCATGATTTAAATTTTTCTTGCTTAAAATATCATCTCAAGATTCGTGTCATGCCTCGAGATTCGTGTTGAATGATGAAATTTTGTTGGCGGTGTATCAGTTGCCCCCTACTTTCGGGCGAGACCTTTTTTATCGTTCAAAAATATTAATATATGGAGTATTTATGTATAAGAATAAGTATATCTTACTTAGTTATTATAACAATAATTTTTATCCTTATATATACATAAAGTTGAACTCAGCTTAGTTGGATAGTATCTTTTGCTTTATGTGGAAGATGTGGGGTTCGAATCCCACCTAAAACAGAATGAATAATATTTTATAAAAGAATTTGAAGAGATTAAGAAATTTGAAAAGGTAAAAGAGAATGAATAAAAATTGAAAAGAATTTTTTTTTAGAAAATGAAACGTTTTTATTTATTATTATTTATGAACATTTAATCATTGCACTTCTTTTTAGATTTCTATATTAATGTGCATTTATTGTCCAAGGCTCTTTTTGAGCCTATAAATAGGGGCTGAAGGAGAGGGTGGAGGTGCGACGACGCGACGAGGCGGTATGGCAGGGCAACCTGTTGTGACGCCATGAAATGGCGGTGCGGCGTGGCAGCCCTTTACGGTGGCACGACGGCGCTGCGGTGCGGCGGAG